AAACTGGAAAATGTTGCGCAAAAAAACCCACGAAATTTCACCTTAAAAAAGTAAAAAAGAGACTGAAGCACAAACCCTCGGCACAAAACAAGCCCCAACTTTGAGACAAATATTAACAATTGTTGTAATAAAAGTGTTACTGTAGCATTGATGTGTGTGATGTTTTTGACACTCGTGCTTTGTCCAGTTTTAGCAAATAAGGTCGTATTACGGTTTGAGAGAAGGTCAGGAGGACTTCCCACTCGCCTCTCGTGCTCAGACAAGTTACAATTCTAAAATTCATACAGTAATTGACATTTATAAGACACAGATGTATAAGACTTAACCGAGTGCAGAGCCAGAGCCAGTGTGAAAGTCATGCACACAACTTGGAGAAAAGCTTGCAGCATTACCCCAGCATAAGCACCGTATCCATAACGAGGACAGAGTAGATTACCCAGACCTCACTCATCCTCAACATGTCCATAATAACTGTACGTTCTGTGGCTCAGTTTAATCTTAAGTTTGCAGAGATAGTTCTGGAGGATGCTTTAGTTTGGGTCTGGAATAGCGGATGCAGCGCGCCATGCGTCGGGCTCTTACCTCCGGACTTGGCTCCCGATCCGCGTCCCTTCTTCCCCGTTTCAAACTTAACGCGGTGGGTTTTGGGTCCAACAGTCTCTGGGTCCAACGCAACAGCGAGACCCGGACAAGTTCCTGATCTGGCCTAACGTCAGGGCTCTCCCTCCGGCCGCGGACAGACGCTCCGTGGAAACTTTGGCACCTGCGTAAAGAGGAGAAGCAGCCCCGGTCTGAGAGTGACCTTCCTCCCGTCGAGTCTGTGCGCGGGTCCGTGCATGTGCGTCTGTGTGCGTGTGAGTGTGTGAGTGTGTGTGAGTGAGCGCGCTCCTCTCACCACCAAGACAAACCCAGTGCGCATGCGTTTCCGCTCGTGTACAAAATAAAAGCATGTGTTTGATCTTCTTTAAACTGTTTCATTCACTCAAGAAAATCTGTGACGTCAGCTCCAGACGTTTCCTCTAGAAGTCTAGAAGGAGCACAGGGACTGGCCTCCTGCTGGGACTCTGAGGAGCACAGGGACTGGCCTCCTGCTGGGACTCTGAGGAGCACAGGGACTGGCCTCCTGCTGGGACTCTGAGGAGCACAGGGACTGGCCTCCTGCTGAGACTCAGAGGAGCACAGGGACTGGCCTCCTGCTGGGACTCTGAGGAGCACAGGGACTGGCCTCCTGCTGAGACTCAGAGGAGCACAGGGACTGGCCTCCTGCTGGGACTCTGAGGAGCACATGGACTGGCCTCCTGCTGGGACTCTGAGGAGCACAGGGACTGGCCTCCTGCTGGGACTCTGAGGAGCACAGGGACTGGCCTCCTGCTGAGACTCAGAGGAGCACAGGGACTGGCCTCCTGCTGGGACTCTGAGGAGCACAGGGACTGGCCTCCTGCTGGGACTCTGAGGAGCACAGGGACTGGCCTCCTGCTGGGACTCTGAGGAGCACAGGGACTGGGACATACCAAATGTCTTGTATGTGTGGGGGTGCCCCAGCTTCATAGCTCTTTGCCATGAATGCATTATTACACGATCTTGTCTTTGTCCACCATGTGAACCATGTGAACCATGTGAACGGTGAACCATGTGAACAGCGCACCATGTGAACAGTGAACCATGTGAACAGCGCACCATGTGAACAGTGAACCATGTGAACAGCGCACCATGTGAACAGTGAACCATGTGAACAGCGCACCATGTGAACAGTGAACCATGTGAACAGCGCACCATGTGAACAGCGCACCATGTGTTTCCGGTGCGCCTCCTGCAGCTTGACGCGCGGGTGAAGTGGGAGATTCCGCGCCTGGATGGATGCCTCTCCTCACCCTCCTCTCTCTCTCTCTCTCTCTCTCTCTCTCCCCCTCTCTCTCTCTCTGTCTTTCCTCGCCCACGCGGCTCCCTGCGTGACGCAAATCCGCGCGTGGGCGGACACACGAGCGTGGGAGGCTCGTGCACAGAATACCAAACACATGAACGCCCACGGAGGACGCGCACTTCTGCCTCCAACTCTGCTCATGTTTCCGCCGCTTCACTCTCTACACACGGACTTTGGAGGATTACACAGGAGTAACGTCAGAGTAACGTCAGAGTAACGTCAGGATAATTACTGTTACACTAAAGGACCCAGAATTATTGACTGCTCTGGTTCTAGTTTATTTACTGCTTTTATTAAAGTATTTTATCAAAGTAAAGTCATTCACACGGCTGTTGTCTTCTCAACAAAAACTAGTGAATACATTTAAAGTACAGCAAAAACAAATGCTAACTAATCCTGTCAGACCTCTGAAGCTAAGCAGGGCAGGGCCTGGTTAGTGCTGTGATGGGAGACCTCTGGGTCACCTGGTGGGGCGGCTGCAGCTGTAAAGTGCTAAACTGTGGCTGTGTCCTTAGGCAAGACACTTCCCCCACATTAGAATGAGTCTGGTGTGTGTGTGGTTGGTGGTGGTGGGAGGGGCCGATGGCACAGAGTGGTTGCCTCGCTTCTGTTAGTGTGCCCCAGGGCAGCTGTGGCTACAGTATAGTTTATCACCACCGTGTTTGGAGAGAGAGAATATAGATCTTTAAGTCTCGATATAATCCTATATACAGTAAAACCATGCATTATTATTATTATTATTATTGTTATTATTATTATTATTATTATTATATCGTATTTGCACATCTTGTTAACGTGTTCTCACTTATTTCAAGTATAGCAGTATCGTTCTGCTGTGACCTTGGAGAATCGTCCTCACAAACCTGAAGCTTGTGAACAGAGTCAGAGCTGAGACAGACTAATATTTACCGCTGAGATAAAAACATTAGTTCTGGAGACTTGTCATTGGGAGATATTTCAGGGAATTGGGCCAGGAACTGTCTTTGTGCCCCCTGGGGACCAAACCAGGAAGCTCCACACCCCCCTCCCCCTCTCTCCCCCTCTCTCCCCCCCTCCCCCCTCCCCCCCCAGCCAGCCACCCACCAGCATCTCTCCCATCTCTCTCTCTCGGGCTCGGAGACAAAAACTCGAGCCTTTGTGGAGCTGGCACTGGTTTTCAAAAGTCCTATTTTCCGATCGCGCGTGCGGGAACAGGGTGTGTGTGTGTGTGTGTGTGTGTGTGTGTGTGTGTGTGTGTGTGTGTCTGTGTGTGTGTGTGTCTGTGTGTGTGTGTGTGTGTGTGTGTGTGTGTGTGTGTGTGTGTGTGTGTGTGTGTGTGTGTGTGTGTGTGTGTGTGTGTGTGTGTGTGTGTGTCTGGGTGTGTGTGTGTGTGTGTGAGTGTGTCTGTGTGTGTGTGTGTGTGTGTGTGCACTTGTTTTCAACTCCTGGTGGGTTCCATAACCTGAGATTCCACTCACGTCATGGGGACTGGTTTTACGTGGTGGGGCCCGAACACCGGACCCCACTGGTCCAAGCTTAATAATCAATGGGTAATGCTTTTCTAACGGTCCTTATGCAGTCTCTGTAAAAATATGGAAAGGACCCCTGGAGGTTTACTTTCCTGAAAAAAGTGTGTTATGTGTCGGAACCCTGGTGGTGGGTTGCGGGATATCAAGGAGGGGCACACTGGGGCAATTTCAGTCCAGCAGGCTGGAGCCAATCATGGAGCAGCACAACAGAGGAAATCAGGTGTCAGGCTAGAAAAAGGTGCAAGTGTGTGGTTCATTAGGCTGCAAGAAATCATGGAGGAGCACACTGAAGCGCACGCTTACAAACCACTGGTAAGTGCTGACTACAAGTCATGACTTCAAATTGTTATATAGAATGATTACAAATTATTTGTTGTTTGTGCAGCTTAGTCAAGAGTCCCTAATTGATGAAGTCGACTCAGATTCTGACGATTTAACTGTCAAGAAGAAACCTGTAAAAAAGTATGGAAAAAGAAAAATCAAAAACACTTTTCTTCAAGACTCGGAAAGTGACGAACCAAAGGCAAATAAGATTGTTATCATGCAGCTGCAAAAGAAGAAAAATGGGGGGCGAGTATACAGCAAGAGACACTTCTGCCTCTACTGTTCAATGTCCTGCCACAAAATGTCCCGTCATTTGACTAGAAAACATGGAAATGAAAGTGACGTAGCCAGAGCATTGGCTCTACCTGTGAAATCTAAAGCACGTAAACTTCAGTTTGATTTGATCAGGAATAGTGGAAACCGTGAGCACAATTTTGAGGTTTTAAAGGCCGGCATTGGAACTTTAGTCCCAGCTAAACAGCCAAATTCCCCAGTTAAATCCAGTGAGTTTTTGCACTGTATAGACTGTGGTGGGGCATTGCTCAGGTCTCTGTCCTGAAGTCCTCTCACATTAGTCCTGGTCTCAGGTCTCTGTCCTGAAGTCCTCTCACATTAGTCATGGTCTCAGGTCTGGTCCTAGTCCTGAAGTCCTCTCACATTAGTCCTGGTCTCAGGTCTCTGTCCTGAAGTCCTCTCACATTAGTCCTGGTCTCAGGTCTCTGTCCTGAAGTCCTCCTCTCACAATAGTCCTGGTCTCAGGTCTCTGTCCTGAAGTCCTCTCACATTAGTCCTGGTCTCAGGTCTCTGTCCTGAAGTCCTCCCACATTAGTCCTGGTCTCAGGTCTCTGTCCTGAAGTCCTCTCACATTAGTCCTGGTCTCAGGTCTCTGTCCTGAAGTCCTCCCACATTAGTCCTGGTCTCAGGTCACTGTCCTGAAGTCCTCCCACATTAGTCCTGGTCTCAGGTCTCTGTCCTGAAGTCCTCCCACATTAGTCCTGGTCTCAGGTCTCTGTCCTGAAGTCTTCTCACATTAGTCCTGGTCTCAGGTCTCTGTCCTGAAGTCCTCTCACATTAGTCCTGGTCTCAGGTCTCTGTCCTGAAGTCCATCCATCCATCCATCCATTTTCTTCCGCTTTATCCGTTGCCGGGTCGCGGGGGCAGCAGTCTAAGCAGAGACGCCCAGACTTCCCTATCCACACACACTTCCTCCAGCTCGTCCGGGGGGACCCCAAGGCGTTCCCAGGCCAGCTGAGAGATATAGTCCCTCCAGCGTGTCCTGGGTCTTCCGCGGGGCCTCCTCCCGGTGGGACATGCCCGGAACACCTCCCCAGGGAGGCGTCCAGGAGGCATCCGGAACAGATGCCCGAGCCACCTCAACTGGTTCCTCTCGACGTGGAGAAGCAGCGGTTCTACTCCGAGCTCCTCCCGTGTGACTGAGCTCCTCACCCTATCTCTAAGGGAGCGCCCAGCCACTCTGCGGAGGAAGCTCATTTCGACCGCTTGTATCCGCGATCTCGTTCTTTCGGTCATTACCCAAAGCTCATGACCATAGGTGAGGGAGGGAACGAAGATTGACCGGTAAATCGAGAGCTTTGCCTTTCGGCTCAGCTCCCTCTTCACCACAACGGTCCGATACAGCGACCGCATAACTGCGCACGCTGCACCGATCCGCCTGTCAATCTCACGCTCCATTCTTCCCTCACTCGTGAACAAGACCCCAAGATACTTGAACTCCTCCACTTGAGGAAGGACCTCTCCACCCACCTGCAGAGGGCAAGGCACCTTTTTCCGGTCGAGCACCATGGCCTCGGATTTGTCCTGAAGTCCTCCCACATTAGTCCTGGTCTCAGGTGTCTGTCCTGAAGTCCTCTCACATTAGTCCTGGTCTCAGGTCTCTGTCCTGAAGTCCTCTCACATTAGTCCTGGTTTCAGGTCTCTGTCCTGAAGTCCTCTCACATTAGTCCTGGTCTCAGGTCTCTGTCCTGAAGTCCTCTCACATTAGTCCTGGTCTCAGGTGTCTGTCCTGAAGTCCTCTCACATTAGTCCTGGTCTCAGGTCTCTGTCCTGAAGTCCTCTCACATTAGTCCTGGTCTCAGGTCTCTGTCCTGAAGTCCTCTCACATTAGTCCTGGTCTCAGGTCTCTGTCCTGAAGTCCTCTCACATTAGTCATGGTCTCAGGTCTGTCCTGAAGTCCTCCCACATTAGTCCTGGTCTCAGGTCTCTGTCCTGAAGTCCTCTCACATTAGTCCTGGTCTCAGGTCTCTGTCCTGAAGTCCTCTCACATTAGTCCTGGTCTCAGGTCTCTGTCCTGAAGTCCTCTCACATTAGTCCTGGTCTCAGGTCTCTGTCCTGAAGTCCTCTCACATTAGTCCTGGTCTCAGGTCTCTGTCCTGAAGTCCTCCCACATTAGTCCTGGTCTCAGGTCTCTGTCCTGAAGTCCTCCCACATTAGTCCTGGTCTCAGGTCTCTGTCCTGAAGTCCTCTCACATTAGTCTTGGTCTCAGGTCTCTGTCCTGAAGTCCTCCCACATTAGTCCTGGTCTCAGGTCTCTGTCCTGAAGTCCTCTCACATTAGTCCTGGTCTCAGGTCTCTGTCCTGAAGTCCTCTCACATTAGTCCTGGTCTCTGGTCTCTGTCCTGAAGTCCTCTCACATTAGTCCTGGTCTCAGGTCTTTGTCCTGAAGTCCTCTCACATTAGTCCTGGTCTCAGGTCTCTGTCCTGAAGTCCTCTCACATTAGTCCTGGTCTCAGGTCTCTGTCCTGAAGTCCTCTCACATTAGTCCTGGTCTCAGGTCTCTGTCCTGAAGTCCTCTCACATTAGTCCTGGTCTCAGGTCTGTCCTGAAGTCCTCTCACATTAGTCCTGGTCTCAGGTCTCTGTCCTGAAGTCCTCTCACATTAGTCCTGGTCTCAGGTCTCTGTCCTGAAGTCCTCTCACATTAGTCCTGGTCTCAGGTCTCTGTCCTGAAGTCCTCTCACATTAGTCCTGGTCTCAGGTCTCTGTCCTGAAGTCCTCTCACATTAGTCCTGGTCTCAGGTCTCTGTCCTGAAGTCCTCTCACATTAGTCCTGGTCTCAGTCTGTCCTGAAGTCCTCTCACATTAGTCCTGGTCTCAGGTCTCTGTCCTGAAGTCCTCTCACATTAGTCCTGGTCTCAGGTCTCTGTCCTGAAGTCCTCTCACATTAGTCCTGGTCTCAGGTCTCTGTCCTGAAGTCCTCTCACATTAGTCCTGGTCTCAGGTCTCTGTCCTGAAGTCCTCTCACATTAGTCCTGGTCTCAGGTCTGTCCTGAAGTCCTCTCACATTAGTCCTGGTCTCAGGTCTCTGTCCTGAAGTCCTCTCACATTAGTCCTGGTCTCAGGTCTCTGTCCTGAAGTCCTCTCACATTAGTCCTGGTCTCAGGTCTCTGTCCTGAAGTCCTCTCACATTAGTCCTGGTCTCAGGTCTCTGTCCTGAAGTCCTCTCACATTAGTCCTGGTCTCAGGTCTCTGTCCTGAAGTCCTCTCACATTAGTCCTGGTCTCAGGTCTCTGTCCTGAAGTCCTCTCACATTAGTCCTGGTCTCAGGTCTCTGTCCGAAGTCCTCTCACATTAGTCCTGGTCTCAGGTCTGTCCTGAAGTCCTCTCACATTAGTCCTGGTCTCAGGTCTCTGTCCTGAAGTCCTCTCACATTAGTCCTGGTCTCAGGTCTCTGTCCTGAAGTCCTCTCACATTAGTCCTGGTCTCAGATCTCTGTCCTGAAGTCCTCTCACATTAGTCCTGGCCTCAGGTCTCTGTCCTGAAGTCCTCCCACATTAGTCCTGGTCTCAGGTCTCTGTCCTGAAATCCTCTCACATTAGTCCTGGTCTCAAGTCTGTCCTGAAGTCCTCTCACATTAGTCCTGGTCTCAGGTCTCTGTCCTGAAGTCCTCCCACATTAGTCCTGGTCTCAGGTCTCTGTCCTGAAGTCCTCTCACATTAGTCCTGGTGTCAGGTCTCTGTCCTGAAGTCCTCTCACATTAGTCCTGGTCTCAGGTCTCTGTCCTGAAGTCCTCTCACATTAGTCCTGGTCTCAGGTCTCTGTCCTGAAGTCCTCTCACATTAGTCCTGGTCTCAGGTCTCTGTCCTGAAGTCCTCTCACATTAGTCCTGGTCTCAGGTCTCTGTCCTGAAGTCCTCCACATTAGTCCTGGTCTCAGGTCTCTGTCCTGAAGTCCTCTCCACATTAGTCCTGGTCTCAAGTCTCTGTCCAGAAGTCCTCTCACATTAGTCCTGGTCTCAGGTCTCTGTCCTGAAGTCCTCTCACATTAGTCCTGGTCTCAGGTCTCTGTCCTGAAGTCCTCTCACATTAGTCCTGGTCTCAGGTCTCTGTCCTGAAGTCCTCTCACATTAGTCCTGGTCTCAGGTCTCTGTCCTGAAGTCCTCTCACATTAGTCCTGGTCTCAGGTCTCTGTCCTGAAGTCCTCTCACATTAGTCCTGGTCTCAGGTCTCTGTCCTGAAGTCCTCTCACATTAGTCCTGGTCTCAGGTCTCTGTCCTGAAGTCCTCTCACATTAGTCCTGGTCTCAGGTCTCTGTCCTGAAGTCCTCTCACATTAGTCCTGGTCTCAGGTCTCTGTCCTGCAGTCCTCTCACATTAGTCCTGGTCTCAGGTCTCTGTCCTGAAGTCCTCTCACATTAGTCCTGGTCTCAGGTCTCTGTCCTGCAGTCCTCTCACATTAGTCCTGGTCTCAGGTCTCTGTCCTGAAGTCCTCTCACATTAGTCCTGGTCTCAGGTCTCTGTCCTGAAGTCCTCTCACATTAGTCCTGGTCTCAGGTCTCTGTCCTGAAGTCCTCTCACATTAGTCCTGGTCTCAGGTCTCTGTCCTGAAGTCCTCTCACATTAGTCCTGGTCTCAGGTCTGTCCTGAAGTCCTCTCACATTAGTCCTGGTCTCAGGTCTCTGTCCTGAAGTCCTCTCACATTAGTCCTGGTCTCAGGTCTCTGTCCTGAAGTCCTCTCACATTAGTCCTGGTCTCAGGTCTCTGTCCTGAAGTCCTCTCACATTAGTCCTGGTCTCAGGTCTCTGTCCTGAAGTCCTCTCACATTAGTCCTGGTCTCAGGTCTCTGTCCTGAAGTCCTCTCACATTAGTCCTGGTCTCAGGTCTGTCCTGAAGTCCTCTCACATTAGTCCTGGTCTCAGGTCTCTGTCCTGAAGTCCTCTCACATTAGTCCTGGTTCAGGTCTCTGTCCTGAAGTCCTCTCACATTAGTCCTGGTCTCAGGTCTCTGTCCTGAAGTCCTCTCACATTAGTCCTGGTCTCAGGTCTCTGTCCTGAAGTCCTCTCACATTAGTCATGGTCTCAGGTCTGTCCTGAAGTCCTCTCACATTAGTCCTGGTCTCAGGTCTCTGTCCTGAAGTCCTCTCACATTAGTCCTGGTCTCAGGTCTCTGTCCTGAAGTCCTCTCACATTAGTCCTGGTCTCAGGTCTCTGTCCTGAAGTCCTCTCACATTAGTCCTGGTCTCAGGTCTCTGTCCTGAAGTCCTCTCACATTAGTCCTGGTCTCAGCTCTCTGTCCTGAAGTCCTCTCACATTAGTCCTGGTCTCAGGTCTCTGTCCTGAAGTCCTCTCACATTAGTCCTGGTTTCAGGTCTCTGTCCTGAAGTCCTCTCACATTAGTCCTGGTCTCAGGTCTCTGTCCTGAAGTCCTCTCACATTAGTCCTGGTCTCAGGTCTCTGTCCTGAAGTCCTCTCACATTAGTCATGGTCTCAGGTCTGTCCTGAAGTCCTCTCACATTAGTCCTGGTCTCAGGTCTCTGTCCTGAAGTCCTCTCACATTAGTCCTGGTCTCAGGTCTCTGTCCTGAAGTCCTCTCACATTAGTCCTGGTCTCAGGTCTTTGTCCTGAAGTCCTCTCACATTAGTCCTGGTCTCAGGTCTCTGTCCTGAAGTCCTCTCACATTAGTCCTGGTCTCAGGTCTCTGTCCTGAAGTCCTCTCACATTAGTCCTGGTCTCAGGTCTCTGTCCTGAAGTCCTCTCACATTAGTCCTGGTCTCAGGTCTCTGTCCGAAGTCCTCTCACATTAGTCCTGGTCTCAGGTCTGTCCTGAAGTCCTCTCACATTAGTCCTGGTCTCAGGTCTCTGTCCTGAAGTCCTCTCACATTAGTCCTGGTCTCAGGTCTCTGTCCTGAAGTCCTCTCACATTAGTCCTGGTCTCAGGTCTCTGTCCTGAAGTCCTCTCACATTAGTCCTGGTCTCAGGTCTCTGTCCTGAAGTCCTCCCACATTAGTCCTGGCCTCAGGTCTCTGTCCTGAAGTCCTCCCACATTAGTCCTGGTCTCAAGTCTCTGTCCAGAAGTCCTCTCACATTAGTCCTGGTCTCAGGTCTCTGTCCTGAAGTCCTCTCACATTAGTCCTGGTCTCAGGTCTCTGTCCTGAAGTCCTCTCACATTAGTCCTGGTCTCAGGTCTCTGTCCTGAAGTCCTCTCACATTAGTCCTGGTCTCAGGTCTCTGTCCTGAAGTCCTCTCACATTAGTCCTGGTCTCAGGTCTCTGTCCTGCAGTCCTCTCACATTAGTCCTGGTCTCGGGTCTCGTACCTGGAGTTGAGTTCTCGCAGCAGCGTGGGAACGTCCAGCTCGTGTTTGGTCACGATCCCGAACGAGGCTTTGACGGCCACGGAGTCGGAGCCGCTGATGTTGAATCCCACGTCGTTGCTAACGTGGTTACCGAGGCGACCGTTCAGGGCCACGTCCGAATGGTCCTCATAGTTCAGCAGCTGGTAGGAGGAGACGCCTGCAGGAGGAGGAGGAGGAGGAGGAGGAGGAGGAGGAGGAGGAGGCATCACTCTACAGCTGTGTTTGAACTACAGCTGTGTTTGAACTACAGCCCGCGAACAATCATACAGGAAAATATAAACTGTTTCATCTTTCACAGAAAAAAGTTATATTTCTAGTTCTCTGTTTTCTTAATCTCCTATATCTTTGTTCAAATCTGTCTCTTTATCTGTGTCCTTTACATGAGACTAGTTCAGAGCCCAGTTTTTAGACCAGAATTGAACCAAGTCGACCGCGGGGCAACAGTGGGAAAGGTAGGTGTGCTGTCCCAGGTAGGAATGTGTCAATATTTAAAAAATTAAAATACGTTTTTATGATCTATCTTTTTATTGACCCACTTTAGCACTGAACTCTCAGAGCAGTCAAGGAAGAGTAACTCCTCTTATTTATACAATATAGGCTTTTTTCATAACTTTGTGTCTTTTTTTGTTTCTTTATGTAGTTTATTTACATGTGATTATGTTTATGAGATTATCTTGATACTAGACTGTGTTACCATAGCAACACAGTTTACTTTTCAGCAGTTAGCATTTAGTTTTGCTGTATTTCAGTTATATTAACCCGTTTTCATAATCGGAAGGTAATTATTTTTGGCTTTGTACTAACTGAATACTAACAGTTAGGCTAGTAACAGTTAGGCTAGTAACAGCTAGGCTAGTAACAGTTAGGCTAGTAACAGTTAGGCTAGTAACAGTTAGGCTAGTGACAGTTAGGCTAGTAACAGTTAGGCTAGTAACAGTTAGGCTAGTAACAGTTAGGCTAGTAACAGTTAGGCTAGTAACAGTTAGGCTAGTAACAGCTAGGCTAGTAACAGCTAGGCTAGTAGCAGTTAGGCTAGTAACAGTTAGGCTAGTAACAGTTAGGCTAGTAACAGTTAGGCTAGTAACAGCTAGGCTAGTAGCAGTTAGGCTAGTAACAGTTAGGCTAGTAACAGTTAGGCTAGTGACAGTTAGGCTAGTAACAGCTAGGCTAGTAACAGCTAGGCTAGTAGCAGTTAGGCTAGTAACAGTTAGGCTAGTAACAGTTAGGCTAGTGACAGTTAGGCTAGTAACAGCTAGGCTAGTAACAGCTAGGCTAGTAACAGCTAGGCTAGTAACAGTTAGACTAGTAGCAGCTAGGCTAGTAACAGCTAGGCTAGTAACAGTTAGGCTAGTAACAGTTAGGCTAGTAACAGTTAGGCTAGTAACAGTTAGACTAGTAGCAGCTAGGCTAGTAACAGTTAGGCTAGTAACAGTTAGGCTAGTAACAGCTAGGCTAGTAACAGTTAGGCTAGTAACAGCTAGGCTAGTAACAGCTAGGCTAGTAACAGTTAGGCTAGTAACAGTTAGGCTAGTAACAGCTAGGCTAGTAACAGCTAGGCTAGTAACAGCTAGGCTAGTAACAGTTAGGCTAGTAACAGCTAGGCTAGTAACAGCTAGGCTAGTAACAGTTAGGCTAGTAACAGTTAGGCTAGTAACAGTTAGGCTAGTAACAGTTAGGCTAGTAACAGTTAGGCTAGTAACAGTTAGGCTAGTAACAGTTAGGCTAGTAACAGTTAGGCTAGTAGCAGCTAGGCTAGTAACAGCTAGGCTAGTAACAGTTAGGCTAGTAACAGTTAGGCTAGTAACAGTTAGGCTAGTAACAGTTAGGCTAGTAACAGTTAGGCTAGTAACAGTTAGGCTAGTAACAGCTAGGCTAGTAACAGTTAGGCTAGTAACAGTTAGGCTAGTAACAGTTAGGCTAGTAACAGTTAGGCTAGTAACAGTTAGGCTAGTAACAGTTAGGCTAGTAACAGTTAGGCTAGTAACAGTTAGGCTAGTAACAGCTAGGCTAGTAGCAGTTAGGCTAGTAACAGTTAGGCTAGCAACAGTTAGGCTAGTAACAGTTAGGCTAGTAACAGCTAGGCTAGTAACAGTTAGGCTAGTAACAGCTAGGCTAGTAACAGCTAGGCTAGTAACAGTTAGGCTAGTAACAGCTAGGCTAGTAACAGTTAGGCTAGTAACAGCTAGGCTAGTAACAGCTAGGCTAGTAACAGCTAGGCTAGTAACAGTTAGGCTAGTAACAGCTAGGCTAGTAACAGTTAGGCTAGTAACAGCTAGGCTAGCAGCAGTTAGGCTAGTAACAGTTAGGCTAGTAACAGTTAGGCTAGTAACAGCTAGGCTAGTAACAGTTAGGCTAGTAACAGCTAGGCTAGTAACAGTTAGGCTAGTAACAGCTAGGCTAGTAACAGCTAGGCTAGTAACAGTTAGGCTAGTAACAGCTAGGCTAGTAACAGTTAGGCTAGTAACAGCTAGGCTAGTAACAGCTAGGCTAGTAACAGTTAGGCTAGTAACAGCTAGGCTAGTAACAGCTAGGCTAGTAACAGCTAGGCTAGTAACAGTTAGGCTAGTAACAGCTAGGCTAGTAACAGCTAGGCTAGTAACAGCTAGGCTAGTAACAGCTAGGCTAGTAACAGTTAGGCTAGTAACAGTTAGGCTAGTAACAGTTAGGCTAGTAACAGCTAGGCTAGTAACAGCTAGGCTAGTAACAGCTAGGCTAGTAACAGCTAGGCTAGTAACAGCTAGGCTAGTAGCAGCTAGGCTAGTAACAGCTAGGCTAGTAGCAGCTAGGCTAGTAGCAGCTAGGCTAGTAACAGTTAGGCTAGCTAGTAGGCTACTTCAAACAAAGAACTCTCTGGAACTACATGAAAGTGAGCACAGAACAGCAGCGGTGAGAAACCCAAACATAAACTGAAACTAAATCCATCAGATCCAAATGTTTCTAAAATGTTCTACTAATGTTAATAGTTACTTCCGGGTTTATGGCGATCGCTTTTGTCACATTAAAACAGTATTTTTGACATGAAACGTGAGCAGATGATTCTGAAAACCTCCGTGCACATGTGTGAAGACTGTGTTTAATGTATTCTCCCATTAACACATAAATATGAGCGTGTCTAGCTCGTAGCTTCTGTCACAGACAGTAGTGACGTAGCTCCGTAGCTTCTGTCACAGACAGTAGTGACGTAGCTCCGTAGCTTCTGTCACAGACAGTAGTGACGTAGCTCCGTAGCTTCTCTCACAGACAGTAGTGACGTAGCTCCGTAGCTTCTGTCACAGACAGTAGTGACGTAGCTCCGTAGCTTCTCTCACAGACAGTAGTGACGTAGCTCCGTAGCTTCTGTCACAGACAGTAGTGACGTAGCTCCGTAGCTTCTGTCACAGACAGTAGTGACGTAGCTCCGTAGCTTCTGTCACAGACAGTAGTGACGTAGCTCCATAGCTTCTCTCACAGACAGTAGTGACGTAGCTCCGTAGCTTCTGTCACAGACAGTAGTGACGTAGCTCCGTAGCTTCTGTCACAGACAGTAGTGACGTAGCTCCGTAGCTTCTGTCACAGACAGTAGTGACGTAGCTCCGTAGCTTCTCTCACAGACAGTAGTGACGTAGCTCCGTAGCTTCTGTCACAGACAGTAGTGACGTAGCTCCATAGCTTCTCTCACAGACAGTAGTGACGTAGCTCCGTAGCTTCTGTCACAGACAGTAGTGACGTAGCTCCGTAGCTTCTGTCACAGACAGTAGTGACGTAGCTCCGTAGCTTCTGTCACAGACAGTAGTGACGTAGCTCCGTAGCTTCTCTCACAGACAGTAGTGACGTAGCTCCGTAGCTTCTGTCACAGACAGTAGTGACGTAGCTCCGTAGCTTCTGTCACAGACAGTAGTGACGTAGCTCCGTAGCTTCTGTCACAGACAGTAGTGACGTAGCTCCGTAGCTTCTGTCACAGACAGTAGTGACGTAGCTCCGTAGCTTCTCTCACAGACAGTAGTGACGTAGCTCCGTAGCTTCTGTCACAGACAGTAGTGACGTAGCTCCGTAGCTTCTGTCACAGACAGTAGTGACGTAGCTCTAGCTTCTGTCACAGACAGTAGTGACGTAGCTCCGTAGCTCTCTCTACAGACAGTAGTGACGTAGCTCCGTAGCTTCTGTCACAGACAGTAGTGACGTAGCTCCGTAGCTTCTGTCACAGACAGTAGTGACGTAGCCCGTTGTGACGCAGTCGCCATAACTATTTTCAGAGTATAGCAGCAGTGAGACGAATACAGGGATATTTTACCTTAAACTGTTTGTTATGAGAGTTTTTCAGAAATCCATTAATTCTAGTACAGTAGTTGCTTTGTGTGAATGTCTCTTCCAAACATACAACTTGTTGACATTGCTGAAGGTGAATACAGGTGCAATTCTAACCTCTGTCTTATGTTTCAGAGAAAGCCTTTGAGATCATAAAGCACCCACCTGCCGTGACCTCCTTCTCTCCCACCAGGATGTCTTTGAGGGAGAAGGGTGTGGAGGAGAACTTGTATTTCTTAAAGAAGCGTCGCCTCCTCTTGCGGTTGACCAGACTGAGCGGCTGGTACCGGTCGGCCTCGCTCAGGCCCGGCACCGGAATCAGCTTCCCTGTGCCTCCCACCTGCTTCACAAAGTTCTTGGTGGCTGCGGCGAACATCGAGACAGCAGCAGGAGGAGCAGCAGCAGCAGCAGCAGCAGCAGCAGCAGCAGCAGCAGCAGGAGCAGCAGCAGGAGCAGCAGCAGGAGCAGCAGCAGGAGCAGCAGCAGCAGCAGCAGCAGCAGCAGGAGCAGCAGCAGGAGCAGCAGCAGCAGCAGCAGCAGCAGCAGCAGCAGCAGCAGCAGGAGCAGGAGCAGCAGGAGCAGCAGCAGGAGCAGGAGCAGCAGGAGCAGCAGCAGCAGCAGGAGCAGCAGGAGCAGCAGCAGGAGCAGGAGCAGCAGGAGCAGGAGCAGCAGGAGCAGCAGGAGCAGCAGCAGAAGCAGCAGCAGTAGCAGCAGCAGCAGCAGCAGCAGGAGGTGCCTGGGTGTGCTGTTCCGGTGAACAGGTGAATAATTGAAGGATGAAAGAGGATATGGCCCAGAGGAGGGTCAGAGCTTCTGTTCTCGTGAGCAGGACCATAATGAGCAGGACCATAATGAGCAGGACCATAATGAGCATGATAATGACCGGTCCATTTGGTGTCTGTTATAAGATAAGAGATCCTGTATTCGTCCCACAGTGGGGACATTCCAGTGTTGCAGCGCACAGACAGGACAGTAGTAAGAGAGTATACAATATAAGTAGCTGTTATGTGTTTAAGCTAGCTGTAAATGCGTCAATATCAATCTTTCGATGTATTTATTCAATTCAATTTCAGTTTTTGTATAGCCCTCTCTGAGGTCTTTACAAAGCTGATGATTCAGTGACACAGATCAGAGAATCAAACAGGTCAGGAATGATGCCATGACCTTTTTCCAAAACTATAATGTACATGTTTTTTTGTCTTAGCTATATTCATAGGAAATTATATTCTATTTTTAACTCACTAATTTCACATAATATATGAACTGTTGATGTACAGTACTCTATACATAACTCACCTCCCATCACAGTACTGACCAGATCATTCACTGCTTAGCTTTAGGGCTGTGGCAGGGTCTGGCTTTAACATGCAGGAAGGCCACAAGCGCTTTGAAAAGTAAGGTAATAACAATGAAAAAATGTAGTATCGTTATAACATTTAGCTGTATATGTACAGTACAGAGCAAAAGTCTGGACACCTCATTCAAAGAGTTTTTTATTTTCATGATTATGAAAACTGTAGATTGACTCTGAGGGTATCAAACCTATGATGAACTCATGTGAATGATGTTCGTAGTAAAAAAGTATGAACCAAGTGTAAATATGTGTTTTATTCTGGTTCTTCAAAGTAGCTCCTTTTGCTCTGATACTGCTTCACTCTTGGCATTCTCTGGATGAGCTTCAACAGGACCTGAAATGGTCTCCAACAGTCTGAAGGAGTTCCCATGATGCTTAGCACTTGTTGGTCCAGCCCCAAAACCATCTGGACTGGGTTCAGGTCCGGTGACTGTGGAGGTCATGTGGCTGAAGGAGAGAGGGTGTCCACACTTTTGCTCTGTACTGTATGTATATATATACTGTCTCTATCCAGAGCATAGACACCGACCACGGCGACGGAGCGAGCGCATCTCTCTCACGCTCACTCTTTATTCCTCCAAAGCCACGCTCCCGACCTATGACCTCTCCCACTTCCTTTTTGGACTCTCTTCATTACGGAGCGTCCTTCCACGTGTGTCCCCGATGCAGACGCAAAGACGCCGTAATGAGAATCCAGTGTGCGACGCAGCTCCCAGATTAAATGCACTCTCAGCACCGTAGCTTTGACGCATGTCCGGAAACAGAACTCAGGCGCTGGCTTCAACATGTTCAAACATAATCCTTTTTATGCTCAAAGTTGGAGGACAATCGGGGGAACATGTCGAAAACATTGCCTCTGGTGTTATTTGTTGTTTGCAGTTTTTTCTGGAGGTGAATGGAGGCGGAGGCAGCACCCACGGGAGCTGGCAGCGCGAGCACATGGAAAAGGCATCAGCAGAGGATGTAACATGCAGGTTGTAAAGTATTCAGAGCTGCTGGGACTGATGTAGGTCGGGGGGGGGGGGGGGGGGTTTTTAGCACGGGCTGTTTGGAAATGTTTTGGGGAATGGGTTTGAAGCGAATGTGACGCAGACTTCTTTACAGGAGATTGGAGGGAGGTCAGACTGAAGGACAGTCGCTGCTGAGTGTTCCACTTAAGAAACACATTAGAGTAGAGTAGATAAACCACTACTGTAGCCACAGCTGCCCTGGGGCAGACTGACAGAAATGAGACAACCAGTCTGTGCCATCAGCCCCTCCCACCACCACCACACCTCATTCTAATGTGGGGGAAGTGTCTTGCCTAAGAACACAATGACAGTTAGGCCAAATGTGGCACCTGGTGTTCCCAGAGGTCTCCCATCACAGCACTAACCAGACCCTGCCCTGCACAGCTTCAGAGGTCTGAGGGATCTAGCTTTTTTATGCAAGTTTGGCCACAGGAACCTTTTCTTTCTCATAAATATGAAGTGTTAATTCAGATTCAGATTCAGACTCATTTATTTGCCATTTGCAGTAAAACCACATTAGAAAAACTGTGCAAGACTACCCCGGTGTGCACACACCAGAGCTGTTGTCCCAACAGATCAGAACACAACAGTCTGTCTTCACCTCAATTAGAAAACACATCTTTGATAGAAATATATCAAAGAACCCAGAGAGTCACTTTGTGACACTTTGGGCTGAGAGCTCTGTTTTTCACTTTCCTTTCTGAAAAATCTAAAATTAAATACATGCGTGTGAAAACTGGAGACACTAGAGACAAGACTAGATTATATATTACACTGTTCCATTGTTGTGGCTTGAAAGTTACGGACCTCAGCTTTAAGTAATGTAAGAAATAGAAAGTTCCAGGACAAACCAGACGAGGGGATGAAAGTACAGCCTTTTCTCCCGGGAGCATTTTCAGTTTCTAAAAGTGGATCCCCTCTTGATGTTTCCCTAATTCTAAGTTTGCCTCCATAATAACCTGTCGTTTGCTAATTTAAGATACACCACCTTTAAACGGCTTCAGCTTCTGCTCCAGAAACTTCTCCCTCAATTTCACCGCTTTGCAAAAAGAAAAGGCTTTAATTAACGTTATCCTGGCAGCGGCAAGGAGAGGAGGATGGAACATGGAGAGAGAAAATGGTTTTAGGAGGAGAGAGAGGAGAGAGAGAGAGAGAGGGAAAGAGAGGGGAGAGAGAGGAGAGAGAGGAGAGAGAGAGAGGGGAGAGAGAGAGAGGAGAGAGAGAGAGAGGGGAAAGAGAGGGGAGAGAGAGGAGAGAGAGGAGAGAGAGAGAGGGGAGAGAGAGAGAGAGGAGAGTGAGTGGAGGAGAGAGGGGAGAGAGAGGAGAGAGAGAGAGAGGGGAAAGAGAGAAAGGGGATGAGAGAGGAGAGAAGAGGAGAGAGAGAGAGGGGGAGAGAGAGAGAGGAGAGAGAGAGGGAGTGGAAAGAGAGGGTTGAGAGAGACGGAGAGAGAGAGAGGGGTAGAGAGAGAGAGAGATGAGAGAGAGAGAGAGAGGAGAGAGAGAGAGAGAGGAGTTGGAGAGAGAGAGAGGAGGAGAGAGAGAGAGAGAGAGAGAGAGAGCGAGTGAGGAGAGAGAGAAGAGAGGAGTAGAGAGAGAGAGAGAGAGAGAGAGAGAGAGAGAGAGAGAGAGAGAGAGGAGGTGAGAGAGAGAGAGAGAGAGAGAGGAGAGAGAGAGAGGTGAGAGAGAGAGAGAGAGAGAGAGAGAGGAAGTGTGTGTGTCAGTGCTGCTTGCTCTGGGTCCAGTGCAGGGTTAGACTCAGGGATCTCCTCAGACTCGGATGCAGGACTTTGAGAGGGTCTTGTAAACTTGGATCTGGTCGGGGCAGACATGGCCCCCGGGGGACACTGTAGGAGGACCCCGTCTCTGGTTCTGGTTCTGGTTCTGGTGCTGCAGGTTGTAGCCGTACTGTGTCAACAAGACTCCAAAACCGGTGAGTGATGAAGAAGAGGAGGTCTGTGTGAGATTGTTTTTAAAGATGTGGTTTATGGTCCCAGTCTGGGTCGGGTTTTCAGTTCTTTAGCAGTTCTTTCAGTGCAGAACATAATCTAGTTTCACTTAGATTAGATTAGAAAACTCTGTACAATTTATATTATTATTATTATTTTTTAAAGAGAATGGGAAGAAGAAAACAAAGTTATAAGTGCATTTATGGACATTTACAGATCTGCCCTTTATGGTCCGAGGGCTCTATGTGTTATTAATCGTTGTGTTTCTTGTGTCTGGACTGTTTCTCTGATCTGTGTCGGCGAATCCACAACTTTGTCCAGACCTTGGAGATGACCACTGTTGGGATTTAGGGCGATACAAAACATACATTGGATTGAATAAGTCTCATTTCACCTGTTTGTAAGAATAAGAACCAAAAGACGTTTTAGTTTCTGGTTCAAATCCCACGTACTGTACTTACTGTACTTTCTGGACCTGTTCACACAACCATCCATCCATCCATCCATTTTCTTCCGCTTTATCCGTTGCCGGGTCGCGGGGGCAGCAGTCTAAGCAGAGACGCCCAGACTTCCCTATCCACACACACTTCCTCCAGCTCGTCCGGGGGGACCCCAAGGCGTTCCCAGGCCAGCTGAGAGACATAGTCCCTCCAGCGTGTCCTGGGTCTTCCGCGGGGCCTCCTCCCGGTGGGGCGTGCCCGGAACACCTCCCCAGGGAGGCGTCCAGGAAGCATCCGGAACAGATGCCCGAGCCACCTCAACTGGTTCCTCTCGACGTGGAGAAGCAGCGGTTCTACTCCGAGCTCCTCCCGTGTGACTGAGCTCCTCACCCTATCTCTAAGGGAGCGCCCAGCCACTCTGCGGAGGAAGCTCATTTCGACCGCTTGTATCCGCGATCTCGTTCTTTCGGTCATTACCCAAAGCTCATGACCATAGGTGAGGGAGGGAACGAAGATTGACCGGTAAATCGAGAGCTTTGCCTTTCGGCTCAGCTCCCTCTTCACCACAACGGTCCGATACAGCGACCGCATAACTGCGCACGCTGCACCGATCCGCCTGTCAATCT